TCGTATCGTATCGTATCGTATCGTATCGTATCGTATCGTATCGTATCCTATTTGTTCCACGTTCTTTTCTCAATTCGTATTTCGTGTTCACTGTTGCAGACTCGTAGACCAAGGATCCGTGTACGTTGCGGTGAGAAGATCGATACAGACGATAAGGATAACGTTCGAAAATCGTTCTGGCCAGGAAGCATCGTAACTTTACGTCGTCCCTAATTGAGAAGCTGAAAGAGGGCCGTAGAAGCGGAAGAGAAGAAAGAAGGGAGACGATACGCGTGGATCGAAGAGAAGAGGATACGGGCGTAAGGTGACGTGGTATTGTCCGGTAAACACTGCGAAGAAGGAGCGGTCGGTGACGAGAGAGAAAGAGCGAGATCTTACTTGGAAATTTACGAGTGAGCGGGTTTGCTCGCACGTTTAGGAGCCAAGCTTTGATTTCTTGAGGCGATCGATCGTGTGTACCATAACAAATAGTCCAGTAGTAAAACTAGCTTACCTTAAAGCGACACCGGAAGTAGACGGCGGATTTCCATGACGCGTCGAGGAATATTCGCAGACGTTTGAATCAGGCGAATATAAAATTCCGAGTCGGGCTCGGTTTATCGACGTTTCCCTCGAAAAAGTTTCCCAATCGGTCGACCAGGCTGCCGTTGTCTCGTCTTCATAAACCTTGTTCCAAGGAATCGCGACATGGTCTCGAACGAGCAACACCGACAACGCCCATCGTCGATCGTTACATAAACGAAATATAATGTCTTCCGCTTCGGCGACGCACCGTTGAAAGGTCTTCTTGCCGCGGAACCAATTACGATTCGCACAGATGGGTTAAAAACGATCGCGATGAACAGCGCGTCCCCGTGCTGCTCGCAAAATGGCGATCGTGGTACCTTCCTGGAAACGCAACAAGCGGCGATCCGTTTCTTATTGGTAAACCCTCATCGATGTTTTTTCACAGACGGGATAGGGAATTCGATCCAGAGCCCGTCACCGTCGATCTGATGATCGAATAGAGCGAATATGCTCTTCCATCGGGACGCCGATGACCTTTCTCGCGTCCTGGCAAAGGCAATAACGAAAAGGCAAAAAGAATCAAAGAGAGACCGAAACGAAGGAAACGCGCATTCGTTGTTACCGATCCGACCGACTCTCGTCAAGTTAGACTCGATTTTCACCTGAGAAAATACCTTGGATAAAATAATAGCGTCCGCGACTATGAGCAAAGCGGATATGCTCGAGGAAAAAAACGGATCGCTATCAGGGATCCATGGATGTTTGTCGATTACAGCGTCGATGCAATTGGATTTCCACGGACTGAGAAGAACGATCGAAAGCTAATCTAAGATAAGTGGCATCGGACACCGTCTGATGAGACGATGGTGATGAAAATTTCCGCGGTCGAGGCTGGCGTTCCTTTACTAAGCGCCGTTGGTCCGCGCTGCGTCGTTAAACAGGCCACGGTCAAGCGATGCGTCGCGGCGCTGCTACTCGTTTCCGTCGCCAGCATATTCTATTACACGCACTACATCATCAGCAGTCCATTGGCCAGGTAAGCTTGACATCTCGTAATATCCATTTCTTTTTCAACATACGATACTTTGGAATGCTATACCGGACGCGAAAGATACTTTGGTATCCGTTAACGTTTCGGCGTCCTCGACCGTTCTCTCTTTTACGAGATGGTTAACAGCACCAACTAGAACGTACAATTTCATGCTTACGGCTAATAAAATTACCGTTTCGCGATAACGATCTATACCGTCGCGTCATTTCCAACATTCGATGAAATATCAAATCGGAATTTAAAATTCTTCCTAATGTTATTTCGTGCCAAGGGAACGGACAAATAAACCAAAGTTTGAATTTCGGCTTAAAATATGCACGAAGCAATTTTCTTTCGTCGTCTTTTCTTTCAAAGTTTCGGCTAAAAACGTTGCGCGTAATTCGTGCATGCCTTTGTTTCCTATTCATCGGACTCCTGAATCAAAACCGTCCCAACTCGATCCACGCCACGCACCAGCTTGACGACGGCCAGACAACGAACGCGTTGGATTAGGATGTATATCGAAGTCTAGCAGAACTCGTGACGCAACAATCGCACTAAATGGAATAATCTTGTATTTTAGTCAGACGCTCGAAACGTATGCATCGAACGATTGTGTTTTCGTGGATGCAACCGTGGTCCAATTTCAATTATTTTCCCCGGTCTTCGCAGACAATTCCGTATCGCGCGTTTGTTGTCTGGGTACGTTAGGTCTACGGTTAATTGGAGAAGACGAATAATCCCAAAATCCGAATGGAGCCGTTCGTTTCGACTCTATATGGATCCAATCTCGCTCGGTTGGATAACCAGAGAAGCCAATAGGTTCGCGAACGCTCTTTCCGATCGTCGCGTCGATTGCAACTCTCGAGTACGCGCATATACGACGCCCCGGATGTCTGGCGTTAAGTGGTTATTTCGTGATAACGTAATTACGTTGGACAAAATTGTCGCAGTTTTGATTGCGAGCGCGCAGTTTCCTCGGAAACCTATATCTTAATCGGCGTGCATTATTAAAAATCGCTTATATCGAAATTCCGCTACAGTTCTAAATGTAACAAAAGCCGAGAATAGATTTCTTCGTGGTCGCAAATTCGTCTTGTATCATCGGTCAAATTCTCGGAATTGTGGTAATCGATCACCTTAAACCAATCGAAACTATAGGTACGCACAATCTTTCCGTTAATTGATATAGTGCTTTGCCTCGACATGGATCAATCTTAATAGGTAACCTATGACCGTTTCGCAACCAATTGTAGGTTCGGAGTACACCGTCGTCAATCACGAAACCTAATACTCCCACGTGGACATTGACATGTAATTTCGCATCGGCACGCGGCGCCGGGCTAGGAGTCGGTTGTGCTATATCCTTCGAGGCGGAGCCACGATACCCTGTATCTTTCGCATGGGAACAAGACAAGACAGAACGCGTAAATTTCGACGAAACTTGCGAGGCAAATACAATGTCTGGCCAAGAGTTTTCTATAGTGAGAATTGTACAATAAATATTTTCGTTTATTCGCATCGTCTAGCGCGAGTAGACGAATGTTAGATCGTTTGGACGAAATTACAATTTCTTGTGTCTCTCGTGTACATACGTCACGATCGACGAACCGAAAAAGCGTCCACGTCAGTTTTGTCGATAGAAAGTACGGTGAACGTCTGTGGTGGGTCCGCAAAGTGGGCAAAGTCTGGAGGATGTTGGCTCGTGGCAAGAAATCCGTTGGTCGATCGTTCGTTCGTTAGAATGCGAGCATGCTTCGACCAGAGTCGAGAGAAGCTCTTTCTTGATCGTGGGGCGCGGAATGCGACCGGATGTTTGTCGCACGCCCAATCAGCGCCAATTCAAGCTTCTCTTCTCTCGGCCATCCTCGCATCGCCATCGGCGCTAAGCTCCGAACTGTGGACGCATGTCGTCGTTGTCCCTTCCTTTTCGCCAGCCACGCGCCTTCGGAGAATTCTTCTGGTTATATTCTTGCGCGGGCGCGGGCGCGGACGTTGAAAAATCAAACGTAAAGATTGCAGAGAATTCGATATTCGGTTGCAACCAGTCGAAACCTTCCAAAAATTCAATGTACGTGTAGCTATTTCAAATATTTAATCATTCGCATACTTGGATAAACGTAAAGCAGAGAATTGTCGTCCCTATCGCTATTTTCTTCGAAATTTCATTTTTCATTTCCATTATCGATGACCGTAGTAGCCCTGAACGCGAGCGCGTGCATCCGCTGGATACATTATTCATCGTGCTTGTTCGTCGGCAGAAGTTTGATTATTCCGAATATCCATCTTGTCAAGGTAATATCGAGTTGTGCAAACTTGGAGCATAAACGTCTGCAGAAGATCGAGCTCTCCGAAAATTTCAACTTTCAACTTGCAAGTTTCGCACGTTCGCGGCCGTCTATATGTATATGTATACATAGTTAGGCGGGATAGACTATAAACCTGCCGTTGCACGTTCTTTCAACAAAATTTAAACGCTTTCTTCGCGGAACGAATCGGCAATCGAGACGCATCCACGCGCTTCGTTGAGGCGCGAATAAAGTTGGTGTTTATCTCGAGCGAATCATTCGTAAATACGCAAAGTTGTTTGTTTCCTTGGAAAAAGATGTTTAAAAATGTGGTAATGCAAAGAAATAATGTATATAGGTTCGAGTGTCGGTCGTTTCTTCCGTGTATTAACACGTTACAGGAAAGGAATCTGTCCGTATGGATTCGGTAGGTTTTTCAACCAATTCCGAGCAAGTTCCGCGCGATCCCTCGCTCGCTGAACATTCCAGCGTGCGTTTCGCGAACGAGATTGGTTCGTAATTACGTCGACCGTGGATAAAAACGTGTCCGTGCAGTTTGGTGTGCAATTTCTGGGCCCTGGCCGTCTCCCTGGCTGCGGTGTCGCGCATTTCCCGGGTTTTTTTATCTGTCATCCGTTGCGCGGAGTGCGGTTTACGCTATTGCGATGCCCGTGTGTGCTCGCACGTCACTCGCGAGAGAAGCTAAAGCTAGGGAGGACGGGCTGCGGCCTCGTTAACGATCGCAACGTTCGCGCTCGAGCATAAACTCGAGACGAGCATCGTCGATAGACACCTTAGCCCGAACTACGCTCTTATCTATCCACACACGTGACACACTGGTCACCTAACTATAACGCAACGGTGTCATGCATTCCGAATCGAACTGCTAGACAATGTAGCGTGCACGTCGTGACCGTTAACGTTGTCCTGTTGCTTTGCGACGAGTATACGGAGGGGAACACGGGCTCTGCGTGAGAAGCGACCCTAATTCTGTCAATCCTGAGGGTGTCCTCGGGCCAGCCATACAACCGGCGTTGTTAACTCGTAACTCTCATCGATTCCGGTGTAAATATACCCAGGCCATGTATACGACCGTGCAGGATTTCCGTTACGGTAGATATACCGCGTGTAACACGAATCGTCGAGAAACGACCGTACAAAGGGAAAACGGCGCGGAAGGGTCGCGTTCTGGCCAGCCCTCGTCGACACACGAAATGCAGTTTCACAGGAACCAGATAACCCTCGTCGAACAATTAATAGTCTCCGTTACGAAAGCGCCGCGACCGGTCGCCGATAGAGGGACGTTAATGTACGTTAATGGTCGATCCGCGATCGCGACCGGTCGAATAAAAATATTCGGACGAGAGATTACTTTGACGTTTGCTTCTCGTTGGTAAATAAAACCGAAGGAGAATCGAAGTGAACGTGAAAAAGTTTGCGATGGAAAATGTCTAGCATCGCAAACTTTGACTCGCAATTACCATGCGATACGACCGAATCAAGAGACGCGAATATCGCTGATCGAAAGATTTCCGATACGCGACAGATCTGAAATGAAACGAAACGACGCGTCGCTTTTGCCGGCCGACTTTGACGAATCGGCCACTGGACGTTACAAGCGACGTAACGATCAAAGCGACGGCGCCATGCTAAATCATCCCGGAATTAGGAGACATCCAGCATCGGTCGAACAGCGAAATTTCCTGCTGACCGATAAATTCCCAATTTGATCGGGCAAGAAGCGTTAATCACGCGTCCATGCAACGACAGATGTTGCAGCTTTCGATCGGCGTAACTCCGTCGGAAGGAGTACATATTTTGCTCGGGTTTGGACACGTTGCCGATAACACGCGTCGAGCGACGTCGAACGAATCGTCGTTTCTTTAGCGATGTCATTTTTAAACGTTTAGCGAGAATTTAAAATAACGTTCGCGTTCTGGCGCGGTTCGAGACCTAGAATCTCATCGTTAGCAAACCGCACCGAAAAATGTCACGATTTATCGTTGTCGTGCTCTATACGCTCGCATGTCGCACAGCCTTCGCCTGGAACACTTGAGATGTTGCACGCGTCAGGTAGATTAAACGGTTGCGCGAGCTATCTGACGCGATGCAAGTAATGTGCGGCTTGATACCGAAACTGTACCGTCGTATCCGTCGGATCTTCGATGCTCGGAGATCGCGATAATCGGTCATCCGTGCGCACGACCGATTACCGACACGCGTGGATGAATTTACTATGCTCGTGCGATGTCGAGTCTCGCGTGGACCGATAGCGATCAGACTATCCTATTATTAAGACTAACGTAAAGTAAAAGTAATTTTACTTTTCATCGATTTTATTTCTTCCAATAAACAAGCGCAATTTCCAGGAGAATGTAGCAAACTAGTTCGTTAATAGACGCGCAACATTGACAAAGAGTAAATGGCGAAACGAGCGCGAATCGCACCGCTCGCCGACGAGGTTCAAAGAATCCGGAGCCGTAATTCCGTTACACAAATTCTCCGCGAGCTTTGGCCGGGGATTCTTGGCGCATCAGTGGCCGGGTAACAAGAATGCATCGTGGAACGCGTTTTCTGTACGCGTCGTTTACGGTGAACGCGATACCGACGCCGACGTCGCAGACGACGCGAAAATCCGCGACGGTGTAATTCACGACCGGACTATCTGCCAGCCATAAATATTTCGTACAACGGTAACGATGCGTATCTTTGCCGTAA